CCATCGTCTTCATGAACCTTTATTTTTAGTATATATTGGGAATTTAGGAAGCTTAACAGTTTTTTCACCTCCTAGTGACTACCTAATCTTCACAAAGTCAACTGTTATCTGAGACAGATTCTCCTGTGTGAGGGATGAGAACAGGAGAAAGTTGAATTGTAGAAGGAGATTGTGAAATAGAGGATGATAGAAAGGTTTAAATGATAATAAGGCAATCTGATTAACAACCCTTCATAGGATGTCTCTGTGTGTCTGTTCGATGCTAAGTACTGGAATATTTATGAGCATATTCTTGCAAATGATTAGTTATGGCATAAGTAACCATGCACACCCTATATTAACTTACAATGGATTCTGTCAAACCTCAAGTGATAAAAGTTCTAGTTCGTAATTTATAAGTGGTCATGTGGTGAGTTCCATGCCAAAAGCAAAGTTGCCTTTATCTTGGTCTGAATGTTTCCTTGGTCTTCGTTTCTTCGTGTTCTTTCTCATTCTATAACAAAACTATATTCTATCTATGATTTGAAATGTTTTGTTTAATGTTAGGATACTGATGAATCATCTGCCGTTACATGTGCGGTATGCTTGTCAAATAGATGCAACATTTTGGACTATGCAGTTAAATTGTATTCAAGAACTGCCTTTTTGAGATTTACATGTTCTTGAACTTTTCTTGTTCATTCTAAGAGCTTGCCTGAATTTCGACATCTTTGCAGGTTGCTGAACTATTTGGGTTCAACTCCTGCATTCAGACATGCTTGGAATATTTGGAAGCAGTTCCCTGGGTTGGGGAAGAGGAAGAAGAAAAAGTTGTCTCTTCAGTTTTGCGTCTTCAGGGTGAAGGTATTGGGGTTACCCCAGTATTAAAACGTGTGTCCTCTGATGTCTCTAATTCCCCAAGGGACACAATTTCACACATAATGGAACTTGTTCTTAAAAGCAATGAGGAGAGAGGGCGGCGTGAAATGAAATCGGTAGTACTTAAGCTTCTTAGAGAGAAAAACAGTCTGCCAAGTAATGCAGGTTCGGCTGATGTCTGCAATGAAACTATTTACACATCATGCAGAAGCTGCTTGAATTCACTGCTATCTCTATTCAAGCAGGCAGCTGAGCCTGACTTCAATGATAAGCCTGGGGACAGCAAAGAACCTGCAGTGAAGCAAATAGCAATAGAGGCAGATAATCTCTCATGGTTGCTTGAGATTTTGATTGACAGGCAAGCGGCAGATGAATTTGCTCTTATGTGGGCTAGTCAACAAGAGTTAGCAACCCTACACCCGAAGCTGTCTATAGTTTCCCGATACCATGTTAGCTGCATTACAGCTAGGTTGTTTGTTGGAATTGGTAAAGGGGAGCTGTTACCAGTGAAGGACACTCGTCACTTGTTGTTACAAACATGGTTGCATCCATTAATCAATGACTATAGCTGGTTACAACATGGTTGCAGGTCATTTGATCGGAAAGTAGTGGAGGAAGGCATTGGTAGGACAATTCTGACACTGCCTCTAGAAGATCAGCAGAGTATTCTGCTTGCTTGGTTGGGCAATTTTTTGAAAGCTGGTGATAACTGCCCAAATCTTCAGAGGGCCTTTGAAGTCTGGTGGCGCAGGACTTTCATTAGACCTTATGTAGATGGACAAGGTAATCCTCCCCAGTCAGATAGCTGAGCAACTTCAAATAGTTAAAGAAATATATTTATGAGTGAGATTAATCATCCTGTAAATTGTAGAATTGTCTTCTACAGTTTGTGGAGAATTCAATTCAACTTAAGCTAGCAAGGAACTGAGTGAGAATAAACATCTTATTGAAGGATTTCTCCATTAGCAAGAGCTGACATGACAGAGACTCCTTGAATGGAAGATGTTAGGAAGACATCATTTGAGTAATTTCATGCTGAACTTTTCGACTGGATTGTGATTGGAATGCATGAAAATTACTTTGGATTGATGAATTTGGTTGGTACATGCTATGAGTTAGAAATTTTTAGGAAGAAATGTATTAAGGTTGTTGCTTTCTGTGATATTTCCTTGTACTTTGGCATAAGATATGGTAATACATTTTCCTTGTGCAAATCCCTCTCTTCTTAGGAGAAGCTATTCAGTTGTGGTCCCTGTGAAATGTGAATTTTTACAGATTCATATAGCAAGCATTGCCGATAAAACTCCTTTAATGATTCTACCATTGCAATAAAAATCATCCTGGCTGTGTTTGTTGCTGAATTGCTGTATGCTTTTGAGTCTTTTAGCTAGGAATCCATGACACTGATATGTGAAAACAGCTCCTTTCTGAAGGAAAATTTTCTTCCAATAATTCAAGACATTTCTCTAACCCGTAGGAACTTAACATCAATTCTGTTTTCCTGATAAGATTGGCAGGTGTCAATTATACAGAATTTATTGCACGTCATCATGAAAATAAAACCGGGACACACCCTCTGGTGAAAAACAAGGATCTACACTAAAAAAAGGGGAAACTGAGAAAAAGGAACCTGCATGTGAAATTATGGCAAAGGACTAGGTTTAATTGCTGCAACATAAGATTGTGGTACCACTTCCCTTTACAGCTCCATACTTCTTGAGCCTGTATTCAGTACTCACCTTACATCACCATAATAGCTTTCCTTCAACTTTTACGCAAGTAGGTTGACGTTTCAACATTGTTGTACGTCCATCAGAAAGCACCATGACTTTAACTGCTCTCCAGTTCATCTTCTTATTAACCTGTTTAATGTTCGAGGTCTCGAGTCAGTCAGGTCCCCCACAGAGGATAAGGTTGTGGTCACCAGGATCCTTTTGTAGAGACTTGAATGGCAGTGGTCCTCCCCCATTGCTGGATCAAAGAGTGAATGTGCTTTAACTGAATTCGTATTGGTTTCTTCCCCGTTGCCGGCTAATGTCGCGGGGCGTGGGGCCTCTTTTAAATTTTGAAAGGGATCAATTCTGCCTTCTTTGCCGAAGGAAAATTATTCTCTTCTAGATTACATTTCTTTTTCAGGATAAAAGAATGCTACCAATACATTTTTTCAAAAAACTATTTTTTTTTTGTGTGATTATGTCACATCACACATGATAAAACATATATATTTTTTCTATTAGTGTTTATTTTTTAATTTATATTTAAAATTT